GGGGGGGGGCATCAGGCAGACAAGCACAGCAGTTGCAGTTAAAGATGATTCAAAGGAAGTGCGGTAGATGATGGCAGAAAAAAAGGCGCGGTCGCGACTGGCCGAGATCAAGTCGTCCGTAGGCCATAAAACATGACTAGTATCACGGGTGCATTCAGTTCTCTTCGTCCATGAGAGTAGGTCACTTCGCGGCGCAGCCTAGTGCGATCTCGAGATAGACGCGTTTGGACCGTGCAAGGGTCTTACGGTTTGGATAACTTCCCGCGCGCAGGGTTTTATGTACAACCCTGAACTGAACGCGCTTCTGAAAAATCAATGAGATCCACTCGTAGAAGAAGCGGCGGAAGCAACGTGGAAGTAAAATCAGGCGTGTCGAGGTTTTCTTCCATGAAAAGAATAGGAAAGTCAAAAAGTGAGGCAGGAAGGGTTTGAGTTGGAAGAGATTCTCTCCTAGAAACATGCAGAACTGCCGCACACCGATCGGGGAAGTATTTTGAACTGAAAAGACCGTACACGGTTTAAATATGTGCATCTCGAGATAGCCGTGTGCTGCACCAAGCGCGACGTGTGCGGCGTGATCTCGTTTCATTGGCGATAAGAACGGACGTTCCCGTTATCGAACGTTCAGTATTTGCGTTTTTGTAGTGAGTGTATCGGTGTCGCACGTGCTTACTATGAAAACTCAAAGAGCAGTCAGAGCTGCAGTGAATACGGAATGACCAATGTTCGCCAACTTTATACGTTTCTTGGTGACTTATAACCTCCTACACGATCTTTACAAGAACCTTTTTATGTTGAAAAGCTTAATTGTCGATGTAGAGGAGTACATCAGTGGCGAAGCAAGCGAGAAAATCCGCCTATTTCAAGCTCTAAAAGTAGTGGAAGTGGAGGTTGTACGAGATCACCGTGCAGGCAGTGACATAAAAAGGGGTGTTTGGACGAGATTAATGCTCCCATCGCTCAAAAAGATGGCTACATCAAGCCGAATAGGTCCAAAACTGCCATTCACTGTCGCCATGATTTATGACAAGTTGTTTGAACTTCCTACATTAGTTCCCTTGTGAATGATGCAGCCTCTACATAGCCGCTGAAACTCGTCCGGTAGGGGGGTGACATTTACACGATACAATCTCTGGTCCCTTATTGTGCCCTATCCAGGACGTTTTTGGCATATGGTATAAGAAGGAGCCTCGTATTCCTACTACAGGCAAATTTCAGAAAACATTTTTATTGTGAATTGTGCCTTTAAGTAAAGCAGGCAAATATTTACTGTTCTCCATATATTGAAACTCCTTGATCAACCTCCGAGAAAAATTGCGACCGTATCCACATCGAGCGGCCATCGCGCAACTCGTCCATGGGTGTTCTGGTGTGCAGCTTTCAAGAAGACTCTATGGGAAATACAGGGCAGAAAGAAGAATTGTAGCACAAGACAAGGAACGAGAACAAATCTTGCCGCTTCTGAAGAGTTGGCTGGTCAAGAGTTGTCATTGTTTCGCATTGTTTCGGACTTCAATATTTCGCGCAGAATCGTTCAGAAGACTTCCAAAAAAGAAGCTGATTTGTTCAGTTATCTCTTCTATTACAGTTGTTGACCGCTGCTGCGAAGAAGTATGGTTTCGAGAAGTGCAAAAAACTCCTTTCAGCAGTCCACCAGGGCCGTCTTTCAGATATCGCATGGACCGACGAAAAAATCCAGTGGTGAAGTTGCTCGCAACAGCCAAAATCATTGGCCGCTACTTTCTCGTGCTGAAAGGAGCTCCAGCAAGTGAGAAACAAGAGATGGAAGCCCGTCTCCGAACTCACTGATGGTTTCGGACGGGATAATATCTAGAAGCAAACCCTTCCCCCATCTTTACCCATAGAAACATTCAAATCAACTACGAAACTTACCAAAATGTTATTCTGAAAACACTTAAGCGCTATGAGCTCAAAAACACTGCCAGGCATAATTTATTTTGCGGCAGGACTGGGCACCAAATCTATCTCTGCAGCCTGAATCCAATGGACTACTCTGAGTGAGGTTGTGTACAACAGAAAGCGTCATTCTATGCTTATCGCAGTCTGGATAGATTAAGAGCAGTGTTCGGGAGGGAGTAGGAGAAAACTGATCTCATCTACCTACAGTCCACGGAGGGAGATCATGAGGTTGATTTTTTATTCTGGCAGGAGTAGACCATTCCGAACAATACATCGTATATCTGTTGCTCTTCTTGTTGCCCAGTGAACGATAAAGCTTGGTTATGAGTCGCATTTATTTAATATTTTTATGAGCAATCAAACACCGGACCCTACTTTGTAGCTAACCTGTAATAGGGGTTCTGAGAACTACCTTTGCAAAGAAGTTGACGTAACTCCTGAGGGCGCAGTAGTTTACCGTCTCTGAAGTTAAACAGTCTATAATTTGGCGACGCCAGCTTTTTGAACATCGGGATTCTTTTTACGGTCCCTTGTAGATACTCTGTAACACATCATTGTAGACTGCGGATTTTTTTTTCATCGGACAGAAAACTTTCGAAATCTTTTTTGCGAGTGACCTCACGATTGGAAACTACCACAATTTTTGTGTAGTTCTATTGTTATTCCCAGGTATCGAAGTTTATTTATATACATTTTGAGGCTGGGCCAGGTAAAATGACATAATATTTTAGTCACTTACCGATTGTTATAATTGTTCCTCCTTCAGAGCGGAATTCATTGGCAACTCTCGTTGGATCGTCGTACACTAAGTGTCTTAAAACATGTTCATGTAGAAATTCTTGACAAGATTTCGGAGATGTACCAATCCATTTCATCAACTACACTCTAAACAGTCGAGAAATGAGGGGTTCGGATTTTCAAGATTTCCATCACTCCTACTGTTACATTTCTACATGTGTACAAGAGTAAAGCGCTATTTCTACCTGCCTGCCTGTCACGAAATTTATTGTAACCCTGGAGATTCACCTGAAGTACCTGCACTATGTTTGTAATGACTAAGGCGTTGACTAAAATGGACGAGGTACACGTGATTCGAACGAAGCCGGGGCGACGTGTTTGTTTACATGGCCCTGGAACGGTGGGTCAAAGATGATAGTAAATGGAGCACCACACCGGGGATTTGGCTCAAAATCAGAGCATTTAGGTCAAGAGAACAGAGAATCTAAGCTATGTGGTCTAGTTAGGGGAGAAATGGATACAGTGGAGCAAAAGGTATTGAATCTGACCGAGGCGAACTGGATCTTACCTAGCGCACTTACAGAAGTTAATGACTGTTATGGGTTTTTGAAAGCATACCAGCGACGTGGTAAGCTTTTCCTGTGTGTGAAGCGTATATCGTTGGCTTTTGTCTGATGCACACTTCCATGCCCGACAGCAAACCCACTATCTTTATTGGCAGCTTTTGGATCTGGGGGGGGGGGGGGGGGGGGAAGACCAAAACTCCATGAGCATGCCCGCTCACTGGTTCAACAAACCCATTCTTCGGTCATGACAATTCGCGTTGTAGTTTATAACGCCAGCGAAACATGCTTCACTCAATCCAGGACAGGATAGCTTACTACAAAGCTTTGGAAAACACGTACGCGTAGGTACTTCCGACGATGATGATAACCTGGCGAGCTGCACGACGATGGGTTGGCGATGCGAATCTTTCTCTTGCCAAGCGGATTGCCCTAGAATTTGTTACAGTCGTTCAGATGACTTGCCTAAGAATTATTCTGCTCTGTTCTGCTACAGCGATTAATTAAGAACAGTCTGACCGTCTAACGCATGGCGCTCCTCCTTTTCTTGTAAAAATGGCCTGTCGTCTACGTCTCTACCAAACTTGGACGCCTGGTACAATAGAACAGGAGGTAAAAATTTTCAGCTTAATACACGCACAAACACCCGACGCACTTCATGAGCACCTCCCCCAATATGAGCGGAGTCCCTCTTAATTCATGTGTGTTCACGTAAATCGGTTCATTCCCCTCCGTTGTTCATCTTGACTGCTCAAACTCACCGAGATTTCGCTCCGCCCTCGGTGGGAGAGTCTAATTAGGCCACCTACCATAGGCGTTCACATCCTGTATCCTTTACTCCTACTGAATTAAAGTGCTCTAGGTCCAGTCGGACAGAAGTTATGTGTTATGCATTTCCGGTCACACACACATACAGTAGCGCTCAAAAGTATTCGGCCAACTTTAACTTGCCGTAACTTTTTTCCCAGTGGAGCAAACCACATGAAATTTTTATGTTTAGCTGAAGCATGTTTTACACTGTCCAACACTACTTGACTGCAAAACAGCCACATCCACATACTAATGGGGAGGCGTTTGTGGACTATGCTGAAAGCAAGTTTGTGACTTCTGCAGTTATTCGGACCTTATGTACGTTTTTCTTCTCATCTGGGTTCGACATTAGTGCTCGTACACATAAGACATGGCCAAAAGGAAAGGACTTCTAGAAGGACCAATGTCCCTATTTCCAGTTGAATTTTTGTTGGAGCCCTTTTGGATATCTGGAACATGATCAGATTGCAGGTTAATGGTGGTAAATATTCACACTACACCGATGCTACACATATTGAAATTTCGGTTGATTAGATCCAGTAGGAAAGGAGTTATGACTGAAAATCGTAACTGAAGA